ATAACAAAGATAGAGTTATCTTCGCAGGCAGCCGCCTTACAAAAGACGCCGAAACATAGTTCCGACCTATTATACAGAATTACGAAGAAGGAAAAATTAATTCAAAGAAGCTTAAAACGTAAACCAAAGAAATCTATACTAAGTATATAAAATTTTAAAAATAACTTAGAAAGTCTTTTAATACTATAGATAAATAATAAGAAGCTAAGTAAGAACTTTGTTTTATTACCTAAAAAGGACTACTAAGTAAGTATACTTTAACTTTCCTACGCCTGTTAACTAAAGTTAACTAAACTAAGGAAACTAAGAAAGAAGTTTACTATAATAACGTAAAACCTAAAGTTAAGGATAAACTCTTTAAAATTAACTATAAAAAGACAACCTTTACTAACTATATTTAAAAAGCTATTAAGATTAACAATTGTAATTAGGAACAACAGAAAGAACAGAAGTAAGAAAAGAATAGGAATTTTTATAATGTTTAACCTAAGCGAACTTAAGAATACTAAGCTAACTAAGGAAAAAAGTAAAATAATTATATTACCTCTTTTAACGATAGATAATTAGGCTTAATAAACCTTAGTATTATTAAGGCTTAACGTAAGAATATTAAATGCTACAACTGTAGAAAAAAAAGATATGTAAAGAAATATTATTAAGCCCTTAAAAAGGATAGTAATAAGAAATTTACGCCTATTCTAAAGCCTAAGGAAAACTAAATCATTAATACTATAAAACCTCTGGTAAACTACGACATACTGCACTTCTTAGTATACTATAATAATAACTACTAGACTTATTGCAGTAATAAATAAAGATTAGGATAGTACCCTAAGGGGCGTATATAAACCTTAAATATATTTAAAAAGGTTACCTAAATATACCTTAAAACGAATAGAGATTATAATAGTCTTTTAAATACTACTCCACCAGTAAGCCCTATATAAGTAAATCCTCTTAAAGGATTAATATAAAAAGAAATTAACAACCTTAAGAAATATATATATAACTAGTATAGATTAGTTAAACCTAAGGGACTATATTACCCTTATAAAATAACTACAGACGACTGGGAATAGTATAAGGATTAATACAGAATCCAAGAGATTATTAAAGAAAACTAATACTATAATAAAATTGTATAACGAAAAAAACTTAAGGATTAACGGAAACTCCTTGAACAATAGAGACAAATTAAATAAATTAATCTAAGTACTACCTATAACTAGATCTAATTGCCCGGAAATCGGTTTCGGTAATATATTAAGACTAATGTAAATAAATACCCAGTGGCTAAATTACTAAAATTAGCTATCTACTTTATTAACAACATCTGGCTTATAGACTAATGTAATGAAGCTAATATTATTAACTGTAAGCTACTACTATGTAAACAATATGTTATAACTAAGCTTAATAAATAGCATAAGGATTACGGAGCTGCTGAATGTAGATAAAAGGAATTTACGCTCTGCAACAAAGACCGTTGTAAGAAACACTAGTACTAACGCCGAGCCCTCGTATGTATTACCTATAACCTAGAATAATAAGGATTTAACCTTGTGAAGTACGGTAATGACGACGAACTATGAGGAATTAACTAGAACGACCTTCGGAAATACCATAAGCTTACCACTAGACACATACCTAAGCCTAGATACACCTGGTGTAAACGCTATAATATTTAAAATAAAGAACTAGGATAGATTACCTTAGACCTAAATGACATTAATATTAACCCTTACGGTAATAATTATTACGACGGCGCCGATAATGCGACCTACTATAACCTGAATACCCTTACAGGAGGAAAGAAACTACGAAAGTTCTAAGTATTAGGTACCTTAGAAGGACATCCGATTACAGTCTATATAGACTCCGGAGCTATAATAAGTTATATTACGCCTTAACTAGTTAACTGCCTATAGTTAGACAACTGTAAAAAGGAGAAACCATATACCCTTGTAAGTATTAAAAAATAATAATTTACCTATAATAACGGAACTGTTAACCGCAAGACTAATCTCCTTATAATCTAGTTTAGTAAAATTAAGAATATCTTTAGTTTTAATATTATAAATATTACAGGATATAATATACTCTTAGGATATAATTAACTTAAGTTACGTAACCCTAATATTAACTAGATTAGAGGCTAGGCGAAATAGTAAACTTGCCCTAAACTAATTAATTTCAGAGATATACTATAACTAGATTAGGAGGATCAATAGGATACTATAATATCTCTAACAACAGGATCAGTAACCCCTGTATTAAATTAAGAAATATAAAAATATATGGAAAAGAAAAAAGTTATAAAACAAGTATAATTTAAGAAGCTAAAGAAGCTCCTAAGAACAGTTAAATATATTAAGAAACCTAAAAAAAAATAGCTTAGATTTTTAAACTTAATTATACAAAAGGTTAAGGAATTATATTACTAAGACTAATAGATATTAGAATATTTAAAGAATGTACTAATAGACCTTTAGTATATATTAGTCTTTAACGAAGAACTTAATATTAGACTACTAGAATACAGCTAATAGGATTATAAGATTAAACTTATAGATAATAAAGTCCTAATATTTAATAAAATTTATAACCTAAGTACTACTAAACTTAAGATACTTAATAAATAAATTAGAGACTAGCTAAAGAAAGGTTATATTTAACTTTCTAAATCTTTAGCAGGAGCCCTAGTTATATTTATACTTAAGAAAAACGGTAAACTTCGACTTATTATAGACTACTAATAATTAAATATAATAACTAAGAAAGATATTATACTATTACCACTGATTTCGGAAATTAAAGATTGGCTTACAGGAGCTAAGGTCTTTACTTTATTAAACCTTAAGGAAGCCTATAACCTTATTTATATAAAGAAAGGCAATAAATAGAAAACCGCCTTTAGAACTAGATACGGATTGTATAAATATAATGTTATATAGTTTAGATTAACTAACGCCCCTGCAATATTCTAGAAAATAATTAACTACGTACTACGAGACTACGTAGATCATTTTATTATTATATACCTAGACAATATCCTTATTTATTCTAAGAACTTGGAAAAACATAAGAAATACATTAAGAAGGTATTATAAATACTCTAAGATAATAAACTCCTGGTAGAACCTAAGAAATACAACTTTTATACGCAGAAGGTTATATTCCTAGGATATGTTATTACCCTAGGCAAAGTTTAAATAGACCCTGAGAAACTTAAAGTAATTAACGACTGGAAGCTGCCCGAAAACGTTAAGTAAGTATAAAGCTTCTTAGGACTTGCCAACTATTATTAACGCTTTATTAAAGACTTTTTAAAAATCGCTACGCTACTTACGAACTTAATAAAAAAAGACGTTAAATTTAAATTAACATAAGACGCTCTAGCCGCCTTTAAATACCTTAAACAAGCTTTTACAAGTACACTAGTACTTATAATATTTAACCTAAACAAACCTATTATAATTAAAACTAACGCCTTAGATTACGCAATCGGTGGAGTACTTAGTTAACTAAATAAAAAAGGGAAACTCAGGCCTATTACCTACTTCTCTAAGAAACTACATAGACTAGAACTTAGATATCTTATCTATAATAAAAAGTTTATAGCTATATACTAAGTACTTAATAAGTAGCATTAGAGATACTACTGTAAAGGAAGTCGATTTCCAGTAATAATCTTTATGGATTACTGGAATATTACTTACTTTATAACGATATAAGAATTATTCTATAGATAAGTTAAGTACTATAAGTAATTTTCCAAGTTTAAGCTTATTATTAAATACTATAGTAATTTAGACAACAGATACACTAATATACTTAGTAGACGTCTAGACCACTTCTAAAAAATCCCGGAAGTAAAAGTATAAATACTAGAAAAGAATTAGTATAGCGACTTAGTAATTTAATTAATTAATACTATATACTAAATTAAAATAGACGATTTAATTATTAACAATATAAAGGAATACGTTAAGAACTAGGAGAATAAATAATATTTAGAAGGTGTTTTTATAGACACTAGATACCTAACACTAAATGGACTTATCTAGGTATTAGAAGACTTACGAAGTAAAGTAGTAAAATTAGTTTATATACATAAGCTTAACGGACACTGTGGAATTAGAAAAACTACATAATAAATTACATAATACTTTAAATTTAAAGGTATTAAGAAATAGGTATAGAAGGTTGTGTTAGAATATATAATATGCAGACGAGCTAAGGTATTACGCTATTTTCCTTACGGAAAACTATAACCTTTACCGGTTTTAGTTAGAAATTAGGAATTAATAATATTTAACTATATTATAAAGCTTCTACTTTTAAAGGAACTTATAACTAATAATACTTAGGATAGTATCTTCGTAGTAGTTAACTAACTTTCGAAAATAGCCTACTTTATCTTAGTAATAGAGAAAAGCTCTATAGAAGACCTAGCTTATGTCTTTTTCTAATACATTTACGTAAACTATAGACTGCTAAATAAGATTATCTTTAATAGAGGATTAACGTTTATATTAAAATTTTGGTAATTACTTATAGTATAAATTAGACTAAAATATAAAGCTAGTATAGCTTACTACCTACAGACGGATAGATAAATAGAATAAATTAACTAAATTATCGAGATATACTTATAATGCTACGTTAACTTTAATTAAGACGATTAGGTAGAATACTTACCAACCGCCTAAGTATCCTATAATAGTACACTAATAGAATTTATAAACTACTTACCGTTTTACGTAAACTACGGGTTTAAACTAGATTTACATTAACTACTTATTAAAGGAGAAAATACTAGTAAAGTTATTATTGTAGCTAATAAACTTAAGGAACTGTACTAAGAATTACGAATATAACTTAAATTTGTTAAAGAAAGAATAGCTAAATTCGCAGATACTAAAAGGATTAGAGGACTAACCTTTAAGAAGGGAGACATAGTCTACCTACTTTAATACTTGTAAAATGATAAATAGCTAAATATTAAAATAAATAGGCTAAGTAATAAACTTGATTTTAAGAAACTTAGACCTTACAAAGTTACGAAGAAAATTAGACCTATTAATTATAAAATAAATCTTCTACTTGCCCTAGGAAAACAAAGAAGAACTATATATCCGAATTTTTACATTTTACTATTAGAAAAAGCACTAGTAGATAAAAAAATAGGTAAAGTTATATAGGACGAAATTGTTATTTAAGGCGAAGAACTCGAATATAAGGTTAAGAAGCTTAAAATAATAAGATTTAACAAAGATACCTAATAAACTAAATACCTGGTGAAATAGAAAGGCTATAATGAAATAGAAAAATTATGGTAAACTATTGAGGACCTTAAACACTCAAAAGACCTTGTAAATAACTTCTATTGAAGTTTAAGTCTAGTAAAGAAGGGTTAAAAGCATTCTAATCAACAGCGTCAATCGCAGAACCCGCAATCACAGGATCAGTTAAATTAAGTAATAATAATACAGCCTGAAGAGCGGCCTCTGCCTTACGCTCCTTCTTTTTTAACTACTTTAGCTCTACTAAATTATTAATACCCTGAGATACTGTATACGCTGCCTTTTTAAACTATTCCTTACGTTATTTCCAAAGACGAATAACTTTAGCTATAAGATTTGCAATTTCCTCTTCGACAGCTTTAACCTTACTATTAAGCTAGTTGCACCGATGGGAAATATGTAATAATTGTTAAGGTATAAGAAATACCTTATAATAAGATTTATAATCCTCGATATACTTTAAGCAGCAACTTAAGTTAACCTCAGAAGCTAAATACTAGGATCCTTTCTTTTTATAATAGAAGTAGGGTTTTATTTTAATAAATTGCAATAATATAGAAGCAGTAAGTGCTATACTTTTATTAAGTTTCTTCTTCTTTCCTTTTATATTAGCTAAGTTAGTAGATTTTTAAATATAAAAAGTTATTTTAGTAATAAGCAGGTAACAGAAATAAAAAGAATACCTATAAGTAAGAGGTATAAATACTTATATACTAGATTACCTAGTTTTAGGGGTAAGACTAACAGGAGGGGGAGAATCGTATTACGACCCAGCTCTTATAATTACAATAAGGGGCCTATAGGGTAGGTACTCCTAAATTAACGTTAGACCGCGTAGCTAATTAAGAAGCGGTTGATAAAAATCAGCATTAATTCTAATCGACGTAAGAACAAATTGATTAAGATTATAAGTAATTTTACTTAACTCTAGAATATACGACTGAATATATAAGTTTACTTTATATTACTCATTAGATTACTTAGATAGCTAGTTATTATTACAGCGTTTATAATATAATTAAATTAGAACATAGACATTTACTCTTATTTATATTACTAGCTGGTGATAAGATTGCCTGTTACCGACCTGATTGCTCCGCTAACATAAACCATAGAACTACTCTAAGGTTTGTCCCTTAGAAACAGCTAACTTATAGTGCCTATAGGTACCAGTTCGTCACACCCCCTACTTAAGCTACTTAACTTTTATATATAGGCTAAGGTTATTAATAAGGTTATAGAGCTACTTAACGGCTAGTATTATCTAAGGGTAGCTTAGTAGGTATTAGACTAGGGCAGTAATAGTAAAAAATAGTAAACTTATAAAATTTATAACTATAGTAATTATCTTAAAAGTAACTTACCTTAGACTATATATTTTTAATAAACTAACTTATATATATAGATATACTCCTAGATAAAATATATCTTTAGCTCTGTATAAATCAGCAAGAGCTAAAGCTAATAAACTAAGATGGGTAAATTTAGCTATAGCTTATCTTAATTTACAATAACTAGGGCAGTAATAATCTTCTTAGGGAAAGCAATTCTTAAGATATTATAAAAAAACTTACAGCTGCCCTTTACCTAGACGGCGAAGTAGCTACTAAGCTCCCTACGTAAATATTAATTATTATACAAAATTAGCAATAGCGTAATTTTACTACGCTATAGTACAGGACTACTATTAAAAAAAAGACGTTTAATATATTAAAGTAGGTTAATATAATAGCTTATAGGCTTAATAATATAAGCTAAGCCTCTTCCCTTCTAGCCCCCCTTTATATAATAGCCGCTGTTAATAATAACAGTAGTATTATTATATTTTACTAGTTTTATTCCTAGGTTATAAATACTAGCTTATATTACTATTATATATATTATAGTTTTAGATATTACGCTTTTAGTAAGTATTAAAAACGCTAGGCTTACTTAACCTAAAGCTGTATATATATAGCTAAACTTTTTTAAAAGAAATCCTACTTAACGACTAAAATACTCTTGTAGACCTTCTACCTAAAGGCTATGCTACTAATACAGCCGACTGCGTTTTACAGCAGAGGATTAAGGTTAAGGTTAAGGTTAAGGTTAAGGTTAAGGGCTAGGGTTAGGGTTAGGGTTAGGGTTAGGGTTAGGGTTAGGGTTAGGGTTAGGGTTAGGGTTAGGGTTAGGGTTAGGGTTAGGGTTAGGGTTAGGG